CTGTGTATATATATTTTTAAATTTTAATAATCTTCTTTATTTCAAAATGTATGTTTGACTTTATGTATGTTTTAGTTTAATTAGATCATTCATATTGTTAAATAGGAAAGATATGCATGATAAACACAATAGGAAAAAATGTGCATGTTATGAAAGATATGCATTATATGAGTGATATATATGATGATTAGTTACATAGTAGAGTAAACACTCATGTTAGTAGATGAATGAAGATGTCTTAGAAGAATGCGTATTATGAAGAATGAAATAGTTTATCTATAAATGCTTGTATGTGCATGTTAAGAGATGTAGTTTACCCATTAATGATACAAACAAGGGACACCGGTATAACCGCGCAAGGAGTTTTTTTATCATCCAGAAAATTGTGATGTTTAGATCACTAACCGCAATGTCAACGAGAGAATATGGGTTAGTGGCGAGTAGACAGAGCTCACTAATAGATCATTAATCGTTGTGCCAATGGGAGAGTATCAGTTAGGGGTGAGTGGGGATCTTTCTACCTTACACAATTGTTATGTTTAAATCATTAATCGATGTGCCAATGAGATAATATCAACCAGAAGTGTGTTAGATTTTATTGATGATATCCTCAAAGAGAGAGATGTGTATGTATAAAATATAAAATAAAAAGAAAATTAATGTAAATGTATATAGAAGATTAGAATATTTTCATTAAGTCATTGATACATGTATTAGTATATTCAAAGATTTCTTATAAAAATTAAAAGTCTAGCATATTCCTAGATTTCTTATGGAGATTTAAAAGACCAACATGCATATTGATTTCTTTTCCTTACAATACTGCATTTTAGAAGTATGATTACTCCTGAGTTATCTTTAGATTATTTATTATGTTGCTTTAATATTTTTTTTAGGTTTTAAGTTTTTGAATAAGATGAATAGAAGAACAAATTTATATATGAGATGAGAGCAACAACCGAAAATGTACAAATTTATTTTTGTTAATTAAATTACTTTTTTTAGTGGCTCTTTCATGAATTTTTGAATATTAAACTGTTAGTGATAAAAATAAAATAGTAGATGATTGATTTTTCCTGTCCGATCGTTCGTTCCCGTCTTGATTAATTCTAATCCCTGGGTTAGGTAGCGACAAACGTCGCCCTCGCCCGCGTGGGAACTCGTTGGTCTTCTCTTTGTTTAGCCATGCAACGCACTTGAGGTTAGTTACTTGTCACCGCCCTAGCTGCTCTACCCTCCTCTCATTCGAATGGGTAAATCTTCCTTATGATGTAGAACTTGCCCGTTTTTCCTCATATGCATCATTTTATAGAACATATGTGACCTTTGAGCTCTTCACTGCTTGATTCCTCTCCGTCTTTTGACCGCTCAACTCATTGCTTCTTCTCCCTCTCTATTAGACTCTTTGTTTCCTCTCCCTCTTTTTGGCTCTTCGTTTCCTCTCCGCCGAGTACTTGAAAAGAGACGTTACACTACATTGATAGTCTCATCTTTAGAATTTTATATCCCTAGATTTGACAAATTTAAGATTGATTATCATGTAAGTTTAGACTTTCATTTGATCTACCTTGAGCATGTTAAGAATGAACTACCCTTTATTGATCTCATCAGTGAATATTCCATCTACAATGGATATTTATATAAAGGGAGAAAGTTTTGCATCCCCAGGACTTCACTTAGGATATTCCTGATTATAAAGTTAAATTCTGGAAGGATAGCGAGACATTTTAAAAAAAATGAAGACTATTCACTTCCTTGAATCACGATTCTTTTGGCCTTCTCTCAACAGAGATGTGGAGAGAATTTGTACTCAATATTTTATCTGTAGAATAGCCAAAATCACAATGCAGCCATCTTAACGATATTGTGCCTTACCTATACCCTTTAGTCCTCGGGAAGACCTTTCCATGAACTTTTTATTTGAGACGTATACATCCACTTCATTTAGAAAATTACAATCTAGGCTATGTGAGCCGTTTAAGATTATTAGGAAATCATTCTTAATACTTATGCTATAAATTTGCATAAAGACATGCTAATTCTTTTTAAAGGAATTAGCCATCCTCCGAATGTGGTGTATACCTCTTTTGCAGGACAACAAGATCACTTTTTATAGGGGCCGATCCAACACTTGTTGTACATAGTAAACCACATCATCACATTTGAGGAGGACCAAACAGGTGGTCAGAGATTCTTAGTGAGGTGGAATGATAAACCGACTACAAATGGCACTGGGATCACTAGAGAGGACTTGTGGAAGTTTGAATCAGGCTTAGTAGATGAGTACGTTGATTTCAACTCTCTGGAGAAAAGTTCTTTTGGGTCCAAGAGAAGTGATGTGGCACATCGAGGTGGCCGAACTACTAGATCTAAATATAGGGCCAAATCAAGTTTGAGCGGACTTTGATGATTTTGAAATCCCTAGACCTTTAATTACGTCTTTTTCATTATATTATGTAGTAATTAGTTTCCTTAATGTTGTGCGTTATTTGTATGTGTTTTAGTAAAGTGCATGTATTGATTATATTAAAGTCAAACATTTGCTTATGTGATGTTGACCTTGCTTATGGGACTTCGTGCAAATTGGCTTAGTCAATGCATGAAGTGGAAATTTCGGCCAAGGTGGTTTTGTTGTGGTTCCAAGAAAGGGACGGCTACTCCGTCTCCCTCCCCTTGGGTTGTTACCTTGGTAGTGAAGATGTGTGATGAAAGGGTGCTTAGCATTGTATTTGAACTCTTATTTTCTCTGAAATGAAACATTATTGGTTAATTGTGTCAAGTCTTGGATGAAAAATTCTCTGTTAGCTCGAGGCTTGGTAGCCGACCGCCTAAGGAATTTGGCAATCTCTTTGGAAACCTGCTTTTGTGTTTGTGTTTGTAGTGTTGCTTAAGCTCCAAAAGAAAAAAAAACTCAAAATCTTGTGTTTTATTATTTTGTTTTGTTGTTTTAAGTGAAAATCCTTAAATCCATTTTTCTCTGGAAACCCTGCACTAGTTGTACCATATGTTCAATGTAACCCACCAAGTCATCTCCAAAAATTTTGAATTTGTTATCATTATCCTGGTCTCTTTCTCTACTTCAAAAATATAAAAAAATATCTGCAGCTTTGTGTCAAAATTATTGGAGAAAAAATAGTCCAAAGAAAATCCTAGTTTTCTGTATTGTGTTTCATATTTCAGTTTTTCTAAGTTTCTTGTCCCCAAATCCATATCCGCAATGGTCTAAACTTGAAAAAACTCTCGTCGTCCATGCTAGATTATTTGCATTACAACCTCCACTTTAAATTCTAAATTCCCACGAAAAGATATAGCCAATTTCCTAAATTTGGTTACCACTGGACAGAACTGGTCAATCTCCAGTATATCTGCGTCTCTCCATATCAAATCAGTCCCAAAACTTACCAAACTTTCCAGATCAGTAGTTTATTCCCTATCCTACAATTTTAGTGCTTGTTTGTATGATTTTGAGGTTTGTAGAGAAAGTTCTATATATTTGCAGTGAAACTTCTCGATTCTGGACAAAATCTGGAACAAATCCTAATTCCACTTTTACCATCGAAATTTGATCTCCCGGTCTTTTATGGAGATTAAATCCACCGTGATCATTTCTTCGTGATCTTGAGCCTCCACAAACATCAATCAACTCTCACCGCCCCCATTAGGAACTCCTGACCTAAGTTCAGGTGGTCAGGAGCATCTAATCACTCTCTACCCAATTAGGGGATCTACATGCATAGTACTGAATTCCTTATGTATTACATATCTAACCCTGAAATAGTTCTATTTATTCATATAAAAGGCTAATCTCTGAATCTATTTTAAAAAATACGACTACCAATAATTTATCTATTGCGAGATGCACATTTTCACGCAGGTGTTTTGATGCCAATTTGGTGGTATGTATATAATCCCCCTTATTATTAATTAAAATATTTGATCATCTAGTTTGAAGTATAGATGGAGGTTGATTTAGGGGCTCCTGATCTTTTTTTCCCCTCGCTTTTACAACAACAAGGATTTGTAGAAAACGCAAGTCACTTCTAGTTAGAATTTTATATACTACTGATTTTCTTTCGAAGGATATGTGATCTGTGAGTCCTAGTAGGATCCGTTTCTCTCAAATTGTATGGCCTAGTATTTATGCAATGCATAGAATCTGGGATACAAATCATGCTGGTAATGAAGTCTGTGGCCATTGGTCAATAATAGAATGTCAGTGATGACAATTTAAAGTTCCTAGATAGTGTGGGGATGTTAGGAGGGTTGTAAAATGAGGAATGAAAGTGGCAAAACAGCAGTTGAGAAACAGTGAAAAACTTCTGTTGGATTACAAATGGCATACTGGAATAGCAGTTCGGCAGCTGCCCGGCCGGAGAACTGCGATGTGAACAACGGAAAGATGAGGTATGGATGACAGGAAGGATCCACCACCCATTCTTTTTAAGATACAGACTCACCGTTTGAAGAAAAATAGGTTACAACTCTTCAAATAGTAGAAAATATGGAGAAAAAAATCCAAATACATAAACCAAAAACAAAAGTCTACAAAATGAGGTTCTAAGAAGCATGCTTATACTAACACATAAATTAAACCCTAATTCTAATTAAAATATTAAAATAATAATAAATGGTTTCCCCACGGGCCAAGAGTAAAAGGGGGTGGAAAAATCTCGCTTTCAAGGGATGGGACCCGTCCCGCTTTGATCTCGCGATTGCGGGATTGCAGGATACAACTCCTGCATTAGTCTATTTCATGCTATGTATATTTTATTTGTCCAACGCATCTGAAATGTTTGGGTATGGAGAAATTTTATATATTGGTATGGTATAATTTGGCAGCTACGTTATTCTGGTGCTGTTCTAGGGCTGTACTGACATAATGTATAAATGGAATGACACCAACTTCTATTTAAACCAAAAACTCTTGATCTATACCCTAGATTGTACGCATATTAAATCTTTCTTGCTATGCTTCTATTGTGACATGAACATTCATGCAGGCACCCATTTGACTCTTCAAAGTGGGGCCGCATCTGCCAGTTCCTGACTAATGAACATGCTTTAGATGAGAATAGCATAGTAGAGCCATTTGAAGCTTCGAAGGATGATTTATTAGTGGTAGGGATCTTTCCTTTATATGTACTATTATTATTACAGGTAAGTTTTTGTGATAGGTTATTAATCAAACTTTATTCATTCTCAAAACAGGTGCATCCAGAATCATATTTGGATCGTCTCAAGAGCAGTGTGAATGTTTCCATGATTATAGAGGTAAATCATATCCACTTGGCTTGAATTTTGAAGTCCTAAATGCTGTTGAGGTTTTTTTTTTAAACTTTTTTAATCTCCTATGCTGTAAGTTTCAAGCTCTTCTTGTCAGCAGAACTCTGATCTCGTACTTTTTATGCAAGATCTATGATCCTGTAGACTACAACGTTGTTTTGTGAAAGATATATTCTATCATCCTTAAAGGCGTGCATTTTTTCACTTGTAACATTTGAGTTGAAAATGAGTTTTAACAAGTTAAGGCTATATGGATTAAGCGACAAAACGTATCATCTAATGGTTATGACGAGTAATTACTTTTTTTAACTGTACTACGTTAAGTTTTTTTATTTTTAAGATGCACTTATATTTTTAAGGATTCAAATCATGATAGCGTAGGCTAATTATATGAATGTTTAATATTTTAAATTATTCCATATATTCCAATGAATGGAAGTTTAACAATTGTTTCAATAATTGAAAAAAATTAAATGAACATTAACTGAATAGTAAATATATAAGTTAATCACGGGAGAAACAGTTTAAATTTTCTAAATAAGGAATATCCATCACTTTGTTAGGCTTTGGAGGTAGGGGAACTTTCATTGAACCAGGTTAATCTTGGTACTATTCTTTTATTGTTGGGTTTCAATGGTATTACTTTATGCGTTCATTGTATTTATTCTTGTGGATCTTAAATGGTTCCTTCCTAAATTTTTATGGATAATTACTTCAGGTTGATTTTTGAGGTTGTAGATTGGATGGCTGCTAAAACACTTTCCTGTAGGGGTGTACATTTTGTCAGTTTTGATGATTTGATTTACAAGTTAGCTTAATCAATTGATTTTAGTTTTAAACTTAGAAATCGAACTGGTAAATTTTAGTTTGGTTAGTTTCTTTTGGTTGTAGATGAACCATAATATAATTAATTTTTAATAATGAACCTAATTATTTTTAGCTTACATAGCACATACATGACGAATACCATAGTCTTTGCTAAAATTTATAGTTCTGGCATGGGAAATAGAGCACACCCATAGTGATCATTTTGTCATATGTTCATTTTTAGTTTCATAGGTTTCATTGATTTAATATGTAAAGAAACTAATATAATTTAGTTTTGGTTTGATTTGTTTTACAGAAGTAAAAAATTTTGAACCAAAAACAAAATAGCCAAGGATGTTAAATTACAACAGTTAATTGAACTAATACTTCAATAACCAAACTAAACCAGCCAAACTAAATACACACCCTTTCTACCTAGAGTTTTTTATTTCCATCAAGTACCATATATTATTGGTTAAGATGGACACTTAAGGTCCTACAACCTAAACCCAAACAAGTGATTAAGTTGAAGAGGAGGAGGGACTTCTTAAAACATCATGAATATCTAAGGTTTTGATGACCTTGAACCGATTTAAAGAGGACCAAACTAGGAAAGGGAAAATGTGAAATCAAACTTTTCTACAAGCTAAATTCAAAATCCAGTAAAACATGGCAATCATAACCAAAAGGGGAAAGTGCAAACTCCAAAGTAAATCTGAATTGATTTGCATTCAATGGATTGCAACACTTTCAGAAATATAAGGGAGTTTTGGCAAGGGTTTATGACACCGAACAAGTATGCTATCGAAAAAACCAAATATTTTTTGGTAATAGTTGGATTTATTAATTTGTTAAGATTTTGAAGTATCTTTCAAGTGAATACTTGAAGTCATCATCATGATGTAAAATTAAAAGAATGCTGCATATTGTTCTAATCATTCATTTTTAAAAAAATAATCATCATCAATTTATAAAGATTTTTATTGCTTAAAAATTATTATGCTATTATTATTATTTTGGACAAGGTTGATTATTGTCATAATTATTAATTAAATTTAAAAAGCAATTGATACGAATTAAGATGATTTTTCATAGAAATTAGGGCAAACAAATATTTTATATTTTAAGAACCCAAACAACACAACTCAAATATATAAACGATAAGCACCTACGATTCGACGGTAGACGATTTCTCTCAAACCCTAATTTTAGCACCTATAATTCGAGTGATAGACGATCTCTCCCAAAACTTTAATCCTAAGGGTCTGTTTGGTGCAGCTGTGGATTATTTATAATCTGCTGATAAGCAGATTATTCTGATAATCTGATAGAATAATCTGGCTTGCTGTTTGAGGCAGCTTGTTCAGAGTAGCTTATTGGTGGTTAAATGACATTCCTGCCCCTGTCAGATGGAACTGTTTGAGGCAGCTTATTCAGAATAGCTTATTGGTAGAAAAGAAACATATAGTGCAGACACATACGATAATGACAGAGATGTTCTAAAAGATATCTTACAGTTCTCACATCCTAACGAGTACTAGGAGAACTAAAAAAGTACAAATACAAGTACAACAACAAGTAGAAATATTGAAATATTTAACATAAGACTCTGGCTACGTCGATCCTCAACTGCACGGTCAGCCTGAGAAAACATCGGATTCACATGACTGCTGGCACGACTACTGACAGTGTAAAACCGTTTTCAGTAGGGTTGAAAGCCACAAACAGCAGAAGGCAAAAGAAAGATTTATCCATATGAAATGCATTGAAAACAGTTTCGAGCCATATATTCATCTCCAACCTGAAATTTACGAATGAACAAATTAATGAACAGATAAATGCCACAAACTGTAAGCACATTGCGAGCTATATATGCATCCTATTATCATAGCTTTACAAAACTGTTGTGATCAAACTTCACATAACATCTCCTAAATAAATTGTCTACTAGGAATGAAGCACATGATACACAACTTTTGGAATGAAGCACACGGACAGGAAATGATCAAAGCCTCTAATAGCTTTGTTTTGAAATGCAAATAATAACGACATTTCCCCAACTGTAAAGATCAAAGCCACGATTTGATGGAACTAACAACCAAGAATTCCAGAAAATTAGCCACATCAAACGAGCTAATTGCAATGAAACAGGGAGAACCAAGCTTCAGAACAACAGGGAGAACCAAACCACATCAAACTAGCTAATTTCCTATTTCCAATTTTCGGATCTGTAAAGCTCAATTACCTATTTCTAATTTTCAGAACAACTCAAATCGAAATGTATTGCAAGACATATAGAACCAAAACTTGGCATATAGAACAACAGGGAGAACCAATTTCAGAACAACAGGGAGAACCAATTTTCAGAACAACTGTAAACCAAAATCCCAAAGGAGTGCGGCATATAGAAGATCTATTTCCAGAGCACTGTAATATGTGATCCATTTCCAGAGCAAGATCTAAAAATCCCTAAATGTAAGAGCTAACAATCCCAAAAAAACAAAACATGAGGGCATAAAAACTAGAGAAGATCGATGGAGAACATTTCTAGAGCATATAGAAGAACAAAAGCTTTGTAGCTGCCTTGTAGGCCTAAAAAGAAACCACAGGAATACCAAATGCAACATTCGAGACGCATAAACGAACCAGAGAAGATCAAAGGGGATGTGGGGAAGAAGTACAAACAAACAGAAGCTTACGCACGAGAAGATCGGTAAAGGAGATCGCGGGGAAGAGCGCGAGAGATCCACAGGGGCACAAGAGGGAAATAAGCCCTAGCCAACACCGAACGGAACCCCCCGAACGGAACCCCTCCTAACCCCTCCTCCGCGTTCGATGGAACGAATAATATCGCATCCGCGATTACGGGCAATTTGAAAACACATCCCTAAACGCCGAAACAAACGCAAAACGCCGCCGCAGCAAAATAAGCTGCCCCAAACGGGCCTTAAGTCTCAAGACAACAATCTCATGCATAACTCTAAACCTAAACATATTAGCTCTATCTATTCCCCACAATAATAACTGATTAAAGAATAAATTGCTCTTGGGCTCGTAAGGGGCAAAATTGCTCGTAAGCGCCGGTTGAACATTTTTCTCATGGTGGAAGATAGGAAATTATGATGGATTTCGTATGGCTTCCCACGTGGCGTCATCATCTGACAATCCTTTCAATTTAAGAGCCTCATGTGTTCGAAATGCAGTCTTGTATTCTTAGTCCGTATCTGAATCTTAAAGTCAATCTGGGAGAATACTGTTGCTCTAAACAACTCATCCAGTAGCTGATCGATCACCAGAATCTCTACTAACTCGAATCATGCATCTCTTCGATGCTATGCAACTAGATAAAAAATCTCAACCCTATATCTTTTATTAACCTCACCATAATCTAAAGCGTCACCAAATTCTTGCACAAATTAGAGTCATCATGAAGCACCATTATTTTGTCTCCTCATGAACTCTCCATTGTCAAAACCAAACCCTTATAAACTCTCTTTCTATTCTTGATTTGTCCCATTTCCATTATTACTTCTGAATTGACTTTCTCCTAGAAGGCTGTCTTAGCAAATAACACTGGAGTTGTTTGATGTAGCCCTCCGCTGGAGTCCCACCCACCATGATTCTTTATTCCAGGCCGCAATCCTTCGAGTTGATCTTCTCCATCCTTGAATCTCATATCATCTTGTTTTGCCTGCTGCCACTTGTCTAAACCTCCAGATATCATGCAATTCTCTCAACATGCTGCCGCTCGAATCCGCTCCATATTCTTTCGCTCAATCCCGCTTGCTTCCATTTGCCCCAACAGTCTGAATGTCATGCTATTCCTCTAAGTGCTACCTCTCGAGTTTGCTCGCAGTTTCTTTGCTCAATCCCGCGACTCCAGATTCATCTAAAGCTACTAAGATATTCTGATCCTGCATAAATCCTTTAGATTAGTGTTACTCGCCTCCCCTCTTGACGCCATCAGTCGATCACGCGGCGACCTGCGGCAGGTATGCGTTAAACTCCACGCTCTTCTTCATTATTTCTTTCAAGGTCGTGAATCTCTTCTCCATTGATGAGAAATGCTACCCTTATTCCGATCTAATTTGACTCATATCTTCCTCTAATTTCTTCTTCAATGCATCTACTTCTTTGGCAGCCATGACTCTTCGTATGTTTCAAAACTCCTTCCCTGCTGCCTCAAATCATGGCCACATCACAATGTCGGTGGCTTCCTAATTGTCTCAAATCACAACTTGATCGTCACGATCTCGTGATGGCCCATATAGTGCGCTGCCATGCTTCCCAGCTGGCTATAGTCACACTGTGATGCTTCCCAACTTGCTCTTGTTGCATCGTCACGCCCTGTACTGCGCCACGATCCTGTTGTCACTTCCCAACCAGTTCTTATCGCAACTGTAATGAATGGACGCAGCGCCTATATGTTGTGATCCCATCGATGTTTGCATTCATATCGATTGGATCGAGCTTTCTACATGGAAATGGTTGTGCAGTAATCACATCATTTTGCTCCAGGTTTTTATGCTGCTTTTCCCTTCCCATCGACACGTTTGAGTGAGCTGAATACACAAAGCTGCAACGCCTCCTTTCAGCTTGCACGTCACATATTTGATTTGCATTTCAGGATGGATATCCGTGTATTCGAAGAATGAATCAACATAATGTTCCCAGTCCAAATAACCCTCACTATGGAACTGTGACCGTCAAACAAGGGAATGCTGACCTGGAGCTTAAATTCCATTTGAGCTCTGTCCGAATGATTTCGCCTTCATAGGAGCCTCAGATAGTGACAAGTCTTCTTCCAATTCTGAATCAGAAGTAAGATTTCGTCACCTGGGTAGACATTCCTCTTCAGAATCAGGATGCTCGGAACACTCCAGATAAGTAGGTCGTTTGTGCTTTTGAAAATCCCTATTATCTGCAAATACAGCTTCTCCACTGGGGTAGTGGCTAGGATTACCCATGTGGTTGCCATCATGGGTTTGCCATTGTTCCTCGAAACTCGAAACTCTCGCATCATTTCTATCACGAATTGTTGAAATTGCTCGGTTAATATTTTCAGTTTGTGCTCCAAGGTGCTCTGAGCTTCTGGCAGTATTTCCCAACCATGACTGTCACCGCTGGTCGGGTTCCTGTTGCTTCCCTCAGCCATTTGTCTGTACCAAAATATTGTGCAACACCTGTGAGGAGGCAACAGAAAAGAAACACACAGAAAACATAAGTTGGTTGTAACCAAATCTATAGCAATAGTGGAAGAATATCCTTTACAGCTACAAAAGAGGGCTATATATATCCCTTGGTATAAGATAACTCAATATAATAAAAATATTAAGTTTCTTATAATAACTTAAGTATTAATAATAAGAAAAAGCGATATCTATAATAGAAAAAAAGACAATTTAGAAAGCGACTTCCTGTATCTGAAAGTTTATTGCATATATGTGCAGAAAAGTGATATACCCGATTTAAATGGTTTTACTGAATGTGTTATCTTCTGAATATCACAAATGTGATAATAGAAATCCTGAAAAACATGTCTGCAACCATTTTCTGAGCCGTGATTGGAGAGACATAGGTGATGGGATTGGTTTGAAACTAGACCAATTCAACAATGGGATAAAAAAATGGAATAGTAATTTTTTTAGGAAAAATTAAAGCCCTTTCAAAACGCATTAAAAAAATGGAAAAAGATTAATAATGTTTGCATTTTGCTTTTTTTGCTTGATATTTATTTTTATGTATATTATAAACTTTAGAGTGATTGCGGCTTGAGAATGTTGTGCTATCGCTAGTCAAAGAGTATCTTCTGTACCATATGCCAAAACATATTTTGTCTTTACATTATTTCTCCTGCATTTCTTACAAATTACTCTGAACTTGTTTACTCCACCATAATGCATTGTGGTCATGCATTCTACGTGCATGAGCATGTGGCATTTGGTTTGCTATTTGTGTCTTTAACTAAATCAATTGCAATCATACTCTGAAACCTTCTTTTAGTTGAATGTTAGAGTGAATAATTTGAGCAGTAGTATTCAATTCATATTTCTTATTTGAAAATAATTTCAAATTTGATCCTTTTTGAATTAGGTTCCCCCTGTTGCAATGCTTCCCAATTGCCTTGTTCAGCAAAAGGTGCTACATCCATTTCGCTTGCAGGTCAGAGTTCTTGGATAAGCACTTTGATTTTACTGATTCACGTTATTGAAGTTGATAAAAAAAGTTAGGTGGGAGGTTCAATCCTGGCAGCAAAACTTGCTAAGGAACGGGGTTGGGCCATCAATGTGGGTGGTGGTTTTCACCATTGTTCAGCTGAGAAAGGCGGTGGCTTTTGTGTTTATGCTGATATTACTCTTTGTGTTCAATATGCCTTTGTTCGCTTAAATATTTCTAGGTTAGTAACTTCTAAAAATATTCTGTGTTTCAGGCGCAATTTATCATTTTTAATCCGAGTGGTTGGTCTGCAGGGTTATGATTATTGATCTTGATGCTCACCAAGGGAATGGCCATGAAACAGATTTCAGTAACGACCGTATGTTTTCATCTTCTGAAACATGCTTGCTGTTAAAACTGAATTACACTGATTTGCTTCTGTTCACAGGAAGGGTTTACATAATGGACATGTACAATTCTCAAATATATCCTTTAGTAAGTTTTTTGGCTTCACTGAAGATTTAAGAACGTGGCCTGTTTGATGAACATGGCATATCCTCCTTTGACATATATTACTATATACCAAATAGTAAATTAATGGAATTCCGAGTTTCCTAGTTTAGTGTTATCCACTTTTGTTATGTCATATTTATTTTCTACTTGAGTTAGTTTATCTTTGATAAGAGTTTGTCCTCGTCGTTCCTTATCATATAAGGAGAAGAGTTGTAATTTGAGCATTAAGAAGTAAGAGAATATTATTTCTCCAACTTTCTTCATGATATCAGAGCCCGATTCGAGAGTTGTTTCTTGATCAAACCCTAGCTCTCTCAGTTCGAACAACTTTGTCGGCACTAAAAAGTTAAGTTGGAGGAGTTGCCCGTAAGAAGCTGTCGGTCACCAGAATCGAAATTCTATCGCCCGCTTCGGAAGGACGTTTAATTTACATATATATGTATAATTTTAAAAAAATATAAAATCAAACTGACCTCATATTTTTCACTAGAAAACTCTTTGAAGTTCCTCTGAATCTCTTCCTTTCTTTACAGCACATAGAATTCTTCTTCGAAGCAGCAAGGAGGAAGAAATCTCTCACTTTCCCTCCACTCTTACAATCTCTCGAAAAATTCCTCACAATTTTTACACACTATTGGAACCTTTCTAACCTCCAGGAACTCTCTCCCCCTTCCAGCCCTTCTTAATTTTTGGTCAAAATCTTCTTTTAAAGTTGTGGATGAGCTTTCCAAAGAGTTGCCTAAGCATATTTGGCCCTTAACAAAGGCCTGATTGGGCATAACTGCCGAGCTCGCCGTCGGTCGCCGTCGGCGGCCTCGAGGACGTCGTCTGCGGACCTTCTTAATGAATTAATTCTGGAGTCGGGAAAATCTCGCCGTCGGCGCTATAGTTCAATTATGCACATTTTGGTCTTTTTCGCTCCAAATTCGCTACTTTTTGCATCTTTTTGCTCCAATGACCGTAATTCATCATTTCTGCAACAAAACATCAAAAATACCTTTCTTTAAAGTGCAATATCATCAAAAACAGTATAAAATAAGTATGAAAATCTCAACATATTTTCCTTTGGTCACCAACTGCGACCCTGTAGTGTGGCGCTGAACCGTGGGCGGCCAAGCCACGAACCTTCGTTAAGTGGGAGCTGCGAACCATCGCGAGGACAAGCAGAAGATCCCGAAGGCGGGAGCACCGTGGGAAATCATGAAGGCAGGGATCACGAACCGAATCACGATTGAGCAAACTGCCGCCCTTCCTTTGACGACCTTCTTCATATACTTAAAAGATAGGTTGTATATCTAAAATTTTTGAAATCTTTTTATTTGAGGTTGCCCTGTGTTCGGTATTCGCTCTGCAAACTTATGGCCATTTTGGACATGCCATGCTAGTTCTGATGATTCTCCTTTCAGTGCCTGCGAAAAGATAGTTCGAGGCACCACAATCTCATTATCTGCACGAACTTCCATTATCTCACATTCATTGTTTTGTAGAACAACATTGACAAATCTTGTTGGAATTTTTCTCGTGGGCTCCTCTTGAATCACCTGGTTCTCTTTCTTGACGGCTTGAAGTCGAGGATCATCTCTGACTTCTTTATCTTGTCCTCCATCATTGTTTATTTCTTCAACTACTCCTTGATCGGTGAAATAAATAACTCTTCTAGTTGTGCAATCTGATTCAATATGCTCAAATTTATAGCACTTGAAACACTTTCTTAGTGATACATATTTAGAAATTCAGGTTTGCTCTCCTGTTTTCTACTTTGAATCAGTTTCTTCTCAGGCTGGGTTAGTTTGGATGTTCCCTTTTGTGTACTCGGGTTGTAAAATCCTTGGTTGAACTCTGTTTGTAAGATAAGTGGTTGCCCGGTGATATAGTCTCTCCACTTTTGAAGTGGAGGTCTGAACATCCGGTCTGTAATGAGCTGGTAGTTTCTGGCATTGTACCTCATTTCATCGTGGACTAGGTAGTGATCTTGTCTTTTCCCTCACGTTGACTTAGGTGCTTTAAATTTTTGAACAAAAATAATACACTTTTCTTTAGCTTGCTAGCTGCTAGTTTCTTCATTCAGTCACTTCCTGGTAGTCAAAGAAAATTTTCATGGTTTGAAGCCACTCAATGAACTCGCCCAGATCTAGACGACCGTTCAAATATGATAAATCCACCATTACTTCAAAATCCTGCCTTCTCAAATATTTCAGGTCAAATCTTTAGGGTGGAGGTTCTTCATCCGTAAAATCTGCATAGTGGAAGAGATTCACTCAATTCTTTGATCTAGCATGTAATCGTTGTGGCTACGGGTGACTTTGTCTAGATTTTCTTCTCTCAAAAGCTGCAAGCCTCTGTTGTAGTTGGATGATTTCCGACCGCACATCTTCATGGAAGGTTCCTGGACATCCTTTTGTCGATTTCTCATAAAGGACATCGTGACATATCCTTCTGTTCAGGTCTTTGACAATTATCTCTTCCATGGCGTGTTTAGGGTTTGGGAGTGGGTAGGTGGAAGGAGGTGTGTAGGGGTGATGTAGGGTGGGAAAGAAAATTTTTGGGTGGAGGAGGTAGGGTTGGGTAGTGGTGTATGGTAGGAATCTTTGGATAAGACTAGGATTAGGCTAGCTCTAATACCAAAATGATACTAGAGTTAACCCAAACAATAATTGAAAAATAAAATATTATTATCGAAAGTAAAATACGATTATAACCACAGACACTTGAAAAGAAAATACAACAACTAACACAAGCAAATACAACTAAGTGTATCCAAAGAAGGTGGTCGGTTTGGTGAGCGGATGAGATGGAGATGGTGACGTAGTGGTTGACGGTTGTAGGAAGTGGAAGGGAAAGTTGCGGTGGGCTGCGGTTGGGAAAGGTGGAGGTTGGCCAGCTAAAAGACAACAAGCAGGGGTTTGTTGGAGGGCTGGAACAACAACAAACCACCGAGAACAAATGTTTGGGGTGGTGGTAGCAAGCGGTAATGACAACGACAACAGCGAGGAATGTGTGGCACTGAAAAGGGAGGGTTGTCTCGTGGCTGCGGCAGTGAGGGGATATAGCTAGACAACGAAGACAGGCGACTGGAATGAGTGGCAACAAGGTGGGAGGTGGCTGGAAGGGATGGAAGCGGTGGAGGAGTTGGTGGTTGGCGACTGGAGTTGCAAGAAGACAACAAGCGTGCTGTCCGGTGATTTTGACAATGAGGAAACACATCAACAATAGCGAGGGGATGGTTGCGGAGGATGGGAATTCGAGGATAAATACTCTCTTGAGAAAAAGCTACATCTGGAGCAATACTCAACTCTTGGAAGAAGATCACCACCTTAGATAAGCTACATTAGGAGCATCACTCGCCTTTTGATTCAATCCTAGAAGGGAGAAATTGGGATGCTGATGGTTGTACTGAGAAGGAACACAACAATACTGAAAGCCTCAACACAGGATTCACATATATAACCCCACATAACTAGGATTGGATCCTTCTATGGAAAAGAGGCGCCAATCCCTCATGGAAGAGCTGATCGACTTACCTAGGTCTGGACCAAACAGGTCCAGACGAAAGGATTGTGGGCCCGCATTACCTTTATGCTACTCCCGTGGCTCCTTTTATGCGCCCGCACCACATTTATTGAAGATAATGCACTGAAACATAGTCAAATGGTATGGACATGTATATTGAAGGATAGAACATGCACAAATATGATGAAGGGTTGAATTTTTTATTGAAAGCTAAGTAAGAAGGGTCAACCAAATATGATATAGATAGAAGTGCAAAATGATTCGTAGAAAATGTTTTAACATACATTGCAATTGAGTGGATAATGGGAATTCATGAAGCCAACCTCAAATAATTGGGATAATGTTAATGATGATGATTGACTATATAGTCTTAAGTGTTAATGTAATATAAAATCGGTGTATACAACATACCTGCAAATATACTTATTCGTCCTTTCAAGCAAGTATTTGTAAAAATCACAGGGTATTTATTTATTTATTTTTCTGTAGGATATTACTGAATCTTGAGGTGAGCCAGGCCTAAAAATTCGAAAGTTGCTTTATTTGAGTTGGTGCATATTGCTCTTTGGCAATTTCTCAGCTTCATTTCCTGGTTTCATCAATTTGACCTCATTGTTTGCCCCTATATTTCTTTGCTGGAATTTCTGGCTATACTTTCAACAATACTTGACTACCCTTTTATTCATGTTTTATACATACTTTAATGGCTTCTGCCTCTCCATACAAAAATTCTGTATTTATCTTCTAAATTTAAATTCTGAAATAGCTAACTCTCTTATCATTTTCAGGATTACGAGGCAAGAAGGTACATTGACCAGAAAATTGAGTTAGTGGTAAGTTTAGTTTTGGGCAAAAAGTAAACTGTTCTTTCACTTTTACCCTTCAACAGTTCGGTTATTTTTCTAAAAGCATATAATTGATCCTTGCTTAAGAAAATTGGAATTTGGTCTTTCATCCTAATGATGTTGTTATTGTATGAACAAAAGTTCAAATTGCATCCAGGTTTGTGATTGATAAATGTACAGGTTGTATGGATCTGTTAGCTACCATCAACATTTCTCTCTCTCTCTCTCTCTCTCTCTCCCTCTCTCATAATCACTCTTTCTTTCTCCCATCCTCCCTTCCTCCCTCCCTTCCTCAAGGGAATTGTTACTGCAGACATGAACAGCCATGAAGGGAATTCCCACTGCAGACATGAACAGCCATGGAGACATCGAGGTCTTTTGTGTCTACCTATGATGGAGCACAGTGACTAGTTTTGTCTTGACGGGCTCCTTCTAGCTGCTCCTCTTCCAGCTACCTTTGTATGCGTGAATTTGATGGAGTTTTTTAACGGAGATGTTCTACTAGTTGCTAATTATGATCTTTATACAGTTGACTGAAGCCCCCTAAATTTTTTGCTTGGTTGATGCCTGTTCAAGAGTTTTGGGCAGAATGCTGATGACATTATAAAAATGTGCAAAGATTTGCAAGTAAAAATCTGTAAACGTCAATGACTTTTTTGAAATAGAAACCGTGGAAGTCTCACACCTCATTGCATGCTCTTGTTTCTCCTCTGTCTAAACTCTAAAACCTTCCCAGCCATGGACGAGTTTCTTTCCTGCCGCTTCCCCTTTATTCCCTTGCCTCTCTCTCTCTCTCTCTCTCTCAGTATAACTTGTTAAAAAAATCAATTGTAGTTATTTTTTTTATTTTTATTTTTATAATTTAGCGATCATGTATTCTTTCTTATCTGAAGATTTGCAGATTCAGGTAAAGCTTTGCTTTTTATTTGGCAAAATGCAACGAGTAAGATTGTTTTAGAGGAAAAAAAGTCTAAATTGTTGAAAAGGCTAAATTGTAATGATTTTGATTCTGTTTTTCCTAAATCTAGTTTTTTGCAGAATTTGCGAAGGAATTTTCAGTTGCATTAGCGATCTAAGTGAAGGTTGTACGTTTTGTTGAAACTTATTATTTTTTTTTGTTTCTTTTTTCATGGATAAAGAGCGGTACTAGAACAAAGGAATATCTAGAAGATTTGGACAGAGCACTCGAGGTAAAATCTACTTTGCTTGCTTTTTTATGCCATGTTCAACATTTGGTTGTTCTTTATTTTGTTATGTGTTTTGGGAGCACTGAATATCAATTTCTTTTGATGACATCAACTTTGTGTGTGATTTTTGTAAGGAAGATTTACATGCATACCACACAATTCTTATGTATTTACATGTCTAATACCTAAAATTCAATTTTTACATACACACCACCTTATCTGGCAAGAAAAGGTGTATGTCACTTTTTAAAAGTTAAAATGTTATTTTGCTGTGATATGAAATATTTTGGGCGGTATAAATATAAAAAACATTGTTTAGGTGTTAGCTGTATTAATACATAAGAATTGGGCGGTATGTATGTAAATGCCCTTTTTTTAAATGTAATCATATGCTTTAGCAGATATTTATCTGCATGATAGATATAGTAATTGCTTCAGAGAGACTTGAAAGTGTTTTGTACCATGAGGACAACGTGGATTTCAACCTATTCTTGATTGCATGATTGTATCATTTCAGCAAGTTTATTTTCTATTGCCTTGTTGTGTATGTTACTGTGCAAAATTTATCGGCTAATAGAACTTGAAAGCACATTGAATCACTAGTAAAGAGGCCGGAATTGACTGTCATAATCTTAGACTGAAATAATCCAACTATATTATTCAAAATAATATTCTTTCATTTCTATCAAGCACATACCTGCAAAAATCGTGTTAGAGTTGTAAATCTCTGGATTTTTTGTAGAAACTCATGCAACCAACTATCTACTGAAAATAAGATCTTTGAATTGCCTCTGGCTATTGGACATTATCATTGATACTTGAATTAACCGAAATAACAATAAGAAAACAAATGTTATAACTGAAAATTATTAGGTGATTACAACCAAACACACTTGAAAGGGAAAATAATAACAAACACCGACTAATGCAACTATAGTGTATCCCAAATGTGGTGGTCGGTGAGATGGATGGAAAGTTGGGGGCAGGGTTGCTGTCGGATGGCAGCCGACTGGAGAGTGATTGCTGCAGGGAGTGGCAGGGTGGTGTTTGGCTGACCTGCAGAAGTGAAGGTAAGGTGGTGCTGCAGGAAGAATGAAGCGCGGCAAGGCAACAGGTGCCGGTTAAGTGGGGCGGTGATGGAGTGTGGGAACAACAGTCAATGAGAAGAGAGCTTCTAGTGGCTGGACAGTGGCAAGACGACAAGGAGATGGTGGCTGGAAGGGTAGAGGAGGTAGGGTGACTAGGGAAGGAGGTGCGGCCTGCAGGGAAATAGTCACATGGCTGTTTCTGGGTGATCTGCAGCAAATACGGTGATGGTGGTAGCGGAGGGGAGGTTGCGGAGGATTGGAAAGTTAAGGAAAATCGCTACCTTGGAATAAGATACAGTCAGAGCACCACTCACCCTTGGATACAACCTTAGAAGAGAAAATTTGTAGACGCCGAAGACTTTCCTGACAGAAAGCCAATGAAAAATTGACCTAAAATAAGAAGAAACATCATATACAATACTAGGGTAACTAAGGGGCCGCCCCGATAAGGTGGGCGACAACCCCAATCGAATAAGAGGGTCGGTTGGCCCTTGAATCATCCAGTCCGAGCGTGGTCTTCTCGGAAACAGACACCTGCGTCAGTCTCCAGGGTTGGGGGAGATTTGACTTTATCCGCCGAAGCTTCTATCTTTTCATAGTATGATGTCAGTTTGACAACGTTGAAGGTGGCAAAAAAGTTGTAATTCCCTATCAGATCAATATTGTAGGCATTTTCATTTAACTTCGTGAGGATTCTAAAAGGTCCATTTGCTCTAGGCTTGATTTTCCAAAAAGATCCCATGGGAAATCTTTTTTTGTTCAATCTGATTCACGTTAGATCTTCCTCCTGAAAGTTTACTTTCTTTCTCGATTTATTAGCTTGCACATAGTACTTGCAGTTTTGTTTGGTGATATCTTTTCCAGCCTCTTTTTGTAGCCTCTTAATATTTTGTACGTGCGCCTTAGTGTTTACACTAACCTCAAAAGTAGGAAGAAGCGGTAGTACCAACTCAGTGGAGTGAGTGGGTTGTGTTCATTCACGATCTTAAAGGGGGTGCATCAAATAATCTAACTCACAAACCTATTGTAGCCAAATTCGGTTTGGGCAAGAATCAGATCCCATTATTTGATTCTCTTCCCTATGAAGCATCTTAGGAGATTTCCCAGACTTTTATTCACTACCTTTGTCTGACCGTCTATCTGAGGTTACACTGCTGAGCTGAATTGATGCTTAGTGCCTTGTTTTCCCTATAAGGTTCTCCAGAAGTGTCACAAAAACTTGACATCCCGATCAAAGGTAATAGTCTTGGGTATCCTGTGCAGCTTCATGATCTCCCTGAAGCACATGTCAACTACAGGTGACACATCTAGAGCCCGGTGGCAAGGCACCAAATGATCCATCTTTGAGAACCAGTCAACCATGACCATTGTTGAATCCTCGCGCCTCTATCTTCGGAAGACCCACCACGAAATTGATGCTTACATCTATCCAAGGAGTCTCTGGTACTGATAATCCTGTATTTTATGCTCTATTTTTGGCAAGGTATTGGTAGCGGAAACTCATCTTTCTGACATGTTTTTTTAGATCTCTGAAATCAACACAAACGTGTATCTATCCATTTTTCTTCTTAACTGAAACAATGTTAGCTAACTGACTAAAGGAAAATATGTTGAGATTTTCATACCTATTTTACACTGTTTTTGATGATATTGCACTTTAAGGAAAGGTATTTTTGAACTTTTGTTGCAGGTATGATGAATTATGGTCATTGGAGCAGAAAGATGCAAAAAAGAGTGAATTTGGAGCGAAAATGACCAAAATATGAAGATTTGAACTAGGGAGCCTACGGCGAGCCCAACAGCGCCGACGGCGAGATTTTTCTGAGAGTCCTGACAAATATTTTAGAAGGCCCGCCGACGGCGCCCTCGAGGCCGCCGACGACGAGATCGACGGTTATCTCAACAGGTGCATTGAATGTGGATGATTTTTGAAGGGATCATTAGGCAACTCTTGAAAAAACTCTTCTACAATTTTAAAAGAAGATTTTAGCCGAAAATAGAGGGGAGTTCGAAGGAGTTTGGAGGGAAAACACTGTCCAGGAGGTTCCAGTAGTGTGTAGAGAGTCTAATTTAGGGTTAGATTGTGAGGAATTATTTGAGAGATTGTAAGAGTGGAGGGAAAGTGAAAGATTTCTTCTTCCTAGCCGCTTCAAAGAAGAATTGTGTGCTGTAAAGAAAGGAAGAGATTCAGAGGAACTTTGAGGAGTTTGTTTGGGGAGGAATTAGAGAGAAGTATTATTTACTTGTTGTAGTTTGTATGACTTTGCTTTTATATATAAATTTCGAGTTTTGTCGTATCTTCCCCATGAGTTCTGAGTAGTTTTCTCTATCTTTCTCTTTGTCTTTAGATTTTGTGAAATGGTGATTTGAATTGGTTGAGCCATGAAAATGTTAAAGAAGTTGTGATGATCTTTTCACTTCGATCTTAATTTACTTTCAATCTGGCCAATTGATTTATTAAAATATGTTGAGTTTTACAACTAAAGTGAAGATTACATCCAAGATTCAGGGAGGTCAAAGCCCTTGGAAG